ATAGATAGATAGATAGATAGATAGATAGATAGATAGATGATAGATAGATAGATAGATAGATAGATAGATAGATAGATAGATAGATAGATGATAGATAGATAGATTCATTTTAACAGCCTTGTTGTCACAACTATTGTTGTTTCTTTTAAGTATTTTAAAAATTGCAAAGTCTCTTGCCTGTGTGATTCCAAGATGTGCTTAACCAAGCTCAGACATGGCTGTCTAAAGTGATTGTTAAATAAATTACCAAAGTACTTCAAATCTAGACATGACTTATGTGGAAACATCATAGAAGCAATTGTAATCATGTATATTTCTTCATTTTTATTGTAAAGGTGCCAAACTTGCCTCCAATTAATTTTTATGTTGATTCTATAGTATAGGTGTTCTCAAAATGTATGTTCTATCCATCCATTACTGTCAGTAGATAATAAACCCATCTCCATCTTGCTATATGTTAACAATACTGCCATTCTTTTCTTTTCCTAGTTCAGATTGGTGGAAGGCTTAGGCATTAGCAACATTCAGCCATAATGTAATATTAGAAATTTATTTATTTAAAACAAAAGAAGTGCCAACTACTACTATGATTGTAAAATCAGTGCCATCCAAACTGAATACTTTCAGGTTTTTAAATATTTAGCAATCCACATTCAGTCTTCCATCATTTGGAAACAACAAAATCATGAAATTACAGAATCTGTCCCGAAAGCCTCTCTTGCTGTAATTAGATTTGCTATCTCTCATAAACAAAATATATAAATATATACATTACAGAAGTAAATGGTTATTTTATACAACGGGGTTGTGCATACTCACAAATTTGGGAACAGAATATTCTAGTACCATTCTGTTTCCCCTGTAAACTGTCGACACCATTTTTCCTTTATTCTAGTTCAGCAAATTCTTTGAACTGCAAGTATTTCGTGCTTTCCCTGACTTGGAAGCTTCCAAGTTAGGGAATTGTCCAAGCCAAGGCAAAACAGGCCAGTTTTAAGATCAGACCATCACCTAGAGTGTGAACAACTTTTGGTTCATATGATCTACTTCCAGAAATTGCTTGACCATCTTAAATGTCATGATGTGGAGAGATTTGGCATGGTCTGGGAGAATATAATGTTCCAAAGTTATTAAAACATTCCTCTCCCAAATCAATGAGTTTCTTCCTACCTGCAAGTATTTCCAGAACAATTAGGAAAATAAAGAGTCATCCTGAATTAAGACTAATGATGAGTAGCTAGCTAACCAACTGCAAACAGAAGAAAAATAATTTGAGCTTGAAAGTCAGCACAGAAGATCATTTTTAATTTACTCTAAAAGTTCTATGGTATTTATTTTCTGAACAGATAAAGAATCTTTTTAAGAAAGCAACATTTTAGTAAAGGTATCATATACTTCTGAATAAATAATAGAATAAAAAATTTCAACACTTTTGGTCATTGCTATGCTTTATAATACCCAATTGTAATTTTTTTTAAAAAAAACTTACCTGAACACAGTTGTTCAACTTTTGTGTAGTTTAAAGCTACAATATCATTCACCCATGCAATGATGTCATGTCTGCTCATAGTCTCTTGGGTTATAGAGGTAGAATACACGTTGACCGCCATTCCCCAACTGCAAAATCAGATATGCATAGATAAGTTTGGTATCAGAACATTTCCCATTCTGAATCCAATATCTATATAACACATACATAACAGTGAAAAAAACTCCAGTATTTCCAAAATATATTCATTACCAGTATTCAGTTTTTCAATCTCAAGCCATATTTATTGATCTGTAACCCCTATAATCCTCTCTTAGTATATTAATATCCAAATATAGATGGCAAAGAAATAATTAAAGGAGCTGAAGTCCAATGCATTTCGGGGATTCACTGTTATCTGACTTTTCCTGTTAATAAAAAAGAAACAGCATACTTTTATGAAGATTGGTCATTCTTACCGTATATACTCGAGTATAGGCCGACCCGAATATAAGCCGAGGCACCTAATTTTACCACAAAAAACT